AACTTTATTAGAGTGATACCAATGGGTAGATTCTCTACAAGTCTTGTCATGTATGTAATTTTCTGAATCACATTTGCTGAATGTATATTAATTGTGCAGTTGTAAATTTCATAGTAATAAAAATCGTTAATAATTTGAGGAATCTTTAAATAATTAAACCAATTGAAATTTTAAAAGATAGCTGTTTTTCCATAGCTCCTTATTTACTTTTCTGATTTGTTTCAAGGTCTCAATATTATGCTTTTTATGCATACTTGCATTTTAAGGAAGTCTATGTCTTAATTACTAGTTCGGTTAATATCACTGATTTCTATTTAATAAATAGGTGATGGGGCTCAGCATTTTTTTAATTTAAAACTAAAGTTAAAGCTAAAATCTAATCTAATTCAACAACTTTTATAATCAATGACATGGTCCAGAAGAGAAAAATAAATGTTCATGAACAACATAATAGTTGCAACAAGAGTTCTTCTGAAACGTAGACAATATTTTATCAGTGATTTCCAACTGGGATATTGAATGGCAATAGCTTTAGAAGCCTGGATGTTATTCTGTAAATGGTACAGTTTGAAAAGCGTTAGATTTAATGTGCGTATGAAACAATTATAATTAATTTTAATAAAAATAATGAAAAAATTAATTTCTAAAAGCAATTATCTGCTTTCTAAGTTATTTTATTATTCCACAAATTTATTTTGAGTTTTTCAAATTTAATTTATTTCTTGAACACTCTAAATTTCAAAATATGGCACTGTATTTCGTACAATTTTTTTTCTCATATATTTTTTAACTACAAATGTGTAAGTTTAATATTTTGGTTTACTAAAAGTAACCAAATTAATTTTTATAAGGAATATTGAGCGGTCCCTCCACGCTCAATGTTAAAATTAGGCCCCTGTCCACAAGAGTAACAAGTGCCTTCAGCACACCCATCCCAATCTCACCTTAGAATACCTAAAGATAAAGAGAGGCAAAACATTCAAAAAAAAAAAATATATATATATATATATATATATATATATATATATAGAGAGAGAGAGAGAGAGAGAGAGAGAGAGAGAGCTTGTAACATATTTCTTAGAGAGGATAAGAAAAAAAAAACTGTAAGGAATAATAGTAACCATGAAATAAAAGTAACCAAATTAACTTCTATAAGAATCATGAATGAAAGAAATATGTTTTGAGACATTTTTCAAGAAACAAAATTTAAAAATTGTATAATCACTTAATTTCAAATAATGAAATGATCTTCAAAGAATTATCAATAAAAATAGATAATTAGCTTAGTAACTCCTAAAAACAGTAACTATCACAAAAAGCTAATGATAACCTCAAACTACATTTAAAGTTCTAATAAAACACTAAAAATTGGAAGGATGTTCAGGGAATAAATATGCATTGAGTTTAGAATATTTATTTATTTCTTATAGTTCCTATAAACAGCATTTATATATAAAATGCGTGTAAGCTTTTTCAATTAACACTATCTGTTACTGCTTTCTCAAATCACACTCAACATGTACAAAATTACAGTTGACAACATATTCTACGTTTAGTCTGATTAATGAAAATATAGCTTTAAGCTGGATAAGTACTTACATGTTCACTCAATATATACAGTATTTCCCTAAGAGATTGGTTAGATCAAGGATTTACAATTTATATTCAAAATCATCAGTCTAGAAACTAAGTTACGTAAATATATATATAACTAAATATAAATGTAAACATTCATAAATGATACATCAATTATTTTATTTAAATCAATTATTATCAATAAATTATGAGAGAATAAACCAAATAAATGATGTCAGCTTTATTTATTACAGTAACAAAAACCATCATGACTGGAATGCTTTTCATTATTGAATTAAACATTAATATTAACTCATAACACGTTTTCATAGACATACATTATAAAACAATTCAAATGCAATTACAGCAAAATTTATTCTTTTAATAAAATATATATATTATTATATAGAGATGTTTATTTATAGAAGGTATATGATTAAAGTTAAGTAACAGTTTACTCTCCGAAAAAATATTTTACTTATTTTTATGCATTTCAGGATCTCTTTATTAACTTCAGACTAGATACAAGAAACATTTTTGTTATTTGTATTTATATATTTTCATTACGTATATTTTTATAGCTTATAATATCAATAACAGATTTGCCAATCTTGCCCGTTTCTCATCTTTTATCATCTATTTTTTAAAAAAAGAAATGTCATAATTTTTATTTTTATAAATCATTCCTAAAAATGCAATAATTTTTTTTTGTTATATTATTATTATTAAAGTTAAATAACTTTATTCATATGTCTTATAAATATATTATTAAAAGAATAATATGAACTTATTATTACGGTGGAGCGGTTCAATAGAAAAACGTTGTTTAAATATGTTTTTCATAGACAAGTGGTATTATGAGTGAATGGTGACCCTTTCATCGAATACTACCCATCAATTAAATATCACTACTATAATGAATAAATTCTATCAAATCATCCTATATCTTTTTCACAAATCTAGATCCCGCTTTAAAGTATTAAATAATAATAATATTTAGCATCCTAGTCAAGAGATTCACTATCAAGGATTTCATCTTGATCTTGACAAACATCTCACACGGAATCTTTTGGCAAGAAACTGCAAGCCAAACCAGCAATTTATACATTCAATAGACAAACAGTCTCAACTTTCAAAAACATCATCTTCACAACTAAATGAGACCAAGACAATTTCAACAAGCTTTGAGGCTTCAAAAGACCATCAAATTCTTACTCCAAATCCATAATCCAAAATTTCCTTATTATCCCACAAATAAAGTTATTCACATATAGGCTTTATCCATTCACTAAGATGAACTCTCCAATACACTCTGGGTGTTACCCACCTCAACAACTTTACGCGCCTATTTTAGTCACAAAATATCACTTTAATTATATTTACTGGGAACAATTCACACAATGAGACATAGATTAATCATCATTCTTTATGAAAAATTTACTATCCAATACTTTATTTTCAAAAACCTTAAGGTGCCGTTATTCCCTTAACATAACCAGGTATGTTTCACATCCGTAAAAACAATACAAATAATATATATATATATATATATATATATATATATATATATATATATATCTATATATAAGAATGTTTAATTCATATATAAGGAACAAAGAGATAAGCTAGAGCTACTATGCAAAGGTTACACCTATGGATACATTCAGTTCTTGTTGGTTTACTTAATATAAAGATATCTTAATATGTAAGGAATATACAATATATACAGCACATTTCCCATTAAATAAAACTAATTAGTTATTTGCTTTAAGTACTTCGATTTTCTAAATCAACAAAATATTTTTAAAAATTTATATATATATATATATTTTTATACTACAGATATATATACACAGATACTTTCTAAAGCATCTATGTATGCAATGGCCCGGTATCCCACCTAAGGAATTCAAGATATTAATAAAAATAATAATTAATGCAAAGAAGAAAGAGTAGAGATAGCAAAATTTATTTTATCAGTCCTCTGTTATGAAATATAGTTATTTTTACTCTGGAAAGAATATGACACCAACTCTTAATTTAGTTAAATAAGCCTGTGATAAGTATAGTACAGGATTTATTTTCATCAGAGGAGGCAATTTTTTTTTTTATAATTTACTGTTCCTATTTTTGTTTGTAAGTAAATATAAACTACACACTTAAATTCAATTTAATTATATTAATTTTCAATTTTTTATAACATAAATAATTAAATATTAATTTATTTTAGCGCTAGATTAAAAAAGATCACGCAAAAAATGGTGCACTTCTGAGGCCGCAGTTAGCTCAAGGAGACCACAGGTTTACCAACTGCGGTATATACCAATATAAGTAAAAAAGCCTTACTCCCATTGATGTATGACTTGTTTAAAGTGATGTTTTTATAAAATTGTTTAACTCTTCATAATAGCAAGTTGTTTTAGAAAAAATAATAACATATGAAGTTATGTTCATGAGTTCCTCCATTAAAAAAGTGATCAATAAAATATATATACAATTCTAAAATTGGACATTAAAAGAATAATACAGTAAAACCTCTCTCTCCCAACCACTTTCATTTTGTTCCTGACACACATCTATAAAAAATATAATATGTATGTAATATGATATATTAACTAATTTTTGTTATGAGTTTATCATTTATTCATCAGAGAGATAAAATTGCTAACAAAAATATATATATATATATATTCGATCAAAACTTTTTGAAATTATATATTCCTATCAAGCCATTACCCTAAAATAAGCAATTTTGATATTAAATGGAGTTCAGCAGTTCCCATGGGCACAAAAAAAAAATAGTTGTAGCTAATGCAAATATCGATATAAATTATTTTTAAACCCCAAAAGTTATTAAAATCTAATAATGAAGATATGTCATGAATAATTAATTTTTGTGTGAAAAAACAGCATTCTAGTCTCAATTAAAACTTCACAGTTTCATAATAAAATCCACAAAATTTTCATTAATTTTAATTAATGAACCAAGTTGACATCACACATTTGGGTTTATGATCAAAGTAAAAAAATATAAATTTTAAAAATATATTAAAATATAGGTAAACAATAATGGTGGACAATGGTAACATTCCTGAGAAATTTAAAGTCTATTAACCAATCATGTTTTTAAATTGACCAATCACAAAACATCAGTAAATTCTTGAAAGCTAGCTTTCAATATTTAATTATAAATAATAATTAATAATACACAGCTAGTAACTTAAGAGTTTCTGACTAGGTAACAAATTATAAAATATAAATAAAATAATAAACTATCTAATTAAAAACTTTTTTAGGAAATAAAATTAATGCAATGAAATCGTATAAAATAATAAAAATTAAAATATAGGAATGGTGCAAAGATTTTATAAAATAAATAAATAATGAAATAAGATCAATAATAATCTTAAATTGAATCCTCTCAATTAAACCCTTTGAATTTCAAACAGCTTAACATCTGTATCATACCAAATAGGAGGGTCAACATTCCTGAAACAGAGAAAATATAAATAAATTAAATTAAGATAGAAAAAATGTCTATTTCAAATAGCAGTTATAACTGCTGCTTCATTTTTTCCGAATGGAAGAATTTGTATCATAATATTGTAGGAAAGGACTTTCTTAGACAAATTTTATTCAAAGAAAACATCCGCCTTGAAAATTTAACTAAAAGATTGATTTAAACTTAACATAATTCATTTTAATCTTCATGAAACAATTCGACAATATTAAGATTTCAAATTTATCTTATTTGTTGGCAAATATTTACTTTTCTAATTAAAAAGTATAAATGCATACATTACCTAAGATAGATGACTCCCCACATATATGTCCTGAACCAAGTCGTAGTTCCAGCATTAGCTTGGTACTTCCTGATCAGGATGGGATGTGGTACTGGGAGGAGGCCAACAAGAGTACCGTGTTGGAGGAACTTTAAAATCTCACTTTCGTCAGTCAAACCTCTGAAAAATAAAAAAATACACTTAACGCCTGATCTAGAATTTGTTTCATTACTTAGATACATTTCTCAGACCTTAAATGAGTAGCAAAATCAGGAGATGAGCCAAGCAGTTAGAACATAATATTGACACTATTATCTCTCACAAATACAATGAGAGAATCAAGAGGCTCTACTGGTGCCCATTACGAATGTTAAGACGTTTATAGGATCAGGACTTTAAGCATAAGCAGAAGTACTTTATTTTATGCAGCCGAAAAGTAATGGATATCTTTGATTTACTAATTTTTAAAAGGAATTATCATATAGAAAAAAATGATCATTCATGTACTAGCAATGGGCCTTGTCACAGATAACCTTCCAGGATGGTTTATCAGCAGCAAAAGCTCTCCATCTTTTAACTCTTAGTGTCCGTAGGTTTGCCTCAATGTCATCCAAAATATTTTTTTTTTTTTTTTATTGGATTATCTCCTACCGACCATTTCTGGCACCACAAACAAATATATTCTTACCAGAGTGGGAGGGTCGAGTTTCATTACATGGGACTGCCATGAAATAACAGTTAGCTCTTCCCAGGCCGGATTCTAACAGGCGTCGCTGTGCATGAGAATGTTAAAACAGGCACCACTCTAACATGCTCATTCATCACAATCTCATTGCCATCCAACCATCTCATCCTAGAACATTCACCTCCTGGCTTTCTGTACATTTGTTTAGAGAGGACAATTGCTCCCCAGACGCTCCACATGTGCAAGCCACCTCAAACTTTTTATAATGGCCACTATACCAGGCTGGTCATATAACGCTCGTTATCTCTACTATCCACAGGGTATACGTGGTCCATTACATAAATAAATTCTCAAAACTTAAGGTGGGCTAAATTGTGGACTGGATGTAAGTATATAGTACCAATAATTTTTGAACAATTTTTTACTTTTATACAGTACATTCATACAAACATTTTTTATTTACATTCTTGCCTAACTTTCCTTTAACACAGATTTCGGAAAAATTTAATTGATTATAAAACTACCAGCAGAGGCTTACTATGACTAATAGCAGATTCTATTAAGCATGGTTTTTAGTTTCAAAAATGATTCTTATACATCAAAATAAACGAATGGGATTTAACTTACTTGTCAATGCATATCTTTTCAACTTGTGGAACTAGTACTTGCAGCAACCTCATAATCGTCTGTAATGGAAGCTTGGATTTCCATGAGTTTACCCACTCAGAGGAAGGTACCCACTGGCTGGTGCTTCTTACTTCCTGAAATAAACATAAATATTTTATATTATAGGCTTACAAATATATAAACTAGAGGAAACAATTAAAATAACCAATTTCCAAGTTTTTAAAAGAAGAATACATCTACGGAATACTGAGACAATTTGTGAAAGTCATAGTTGAACTACAGTACTATCAATGTTTATCAGTACAATCGCCTATTAAATTAATTAATCCATTTATATTATACATATTAGGATTATATATGAGTAGAAGTAGAAGTAGGGTTTATATTATTATATAAAAGAAATGGGAGTGGGATAGGCACTGAAATCCTTATTTGTTTGAGACAGAAAATTTATATTCCATTATATCAGTTGTGGTTAAACTACGGGATCTAGAACATGTTTAATGAAAGATATGAACAGGAGTCTACCTGAGTAGGTGTTTTCGGCTGCTGTATTTGTGGTTGCTGTTGCTGAGGACTAGGTGGTTTGGTTTCAGTTCCATTCAACGATACTGCACCAGCCAAATCAGCTAAGTCTTCAGATGTACTACTGGAGGTCATGTGAGCAGATTCCTTTCCAGTCATTTTTTCTATACCTACAGAGAGACAGGTGTATCTACATAAAAGCTATAGGAAATTAACGAAAATGTCGTATAAACATGTGTACAATAAAACATCGATTATAAAGACATATATATATATTTTGACTAAATTGGAAGTAGAAAATTTAAAACAGTCGTTCTGAATGGCATATATTTTAACCATTATCAGAGAAAATCCCTCCCAACAATAATGATTAGTCTGGTGTAGATGAAAATACATTTAAAAGTTTATCAGCACTTTGATACACACAGCAGTTTACAACACAAAACTAATGATTATTTCACAACACATATTTAAATTTTTTAAGTATAGTGAAGTACAAATTAAATGTTGGTTATAGTTAAATATTTAAATTCTTTTTCATCTTCTACCTCTATATTTGTATTTCTTTTCTATCGTCCCCTTGAAACTCGTAGACTCCTGGTCACTTCCTTAATTTTTCCCACTTTGACTATTGCTGTACGGTATATGGGGGCGTCTCTGGGCATCTCGAGGCAAAACTAAAACGCTTGATAAATTGCTTTGTACGATTCATCTTCAGGATCCAAGGGACGCCTATGTTTCCCCTTTTTATGTAGAGTTGAAATGGTTTTACCCTTCTTACCGTTGTAAGTATTTTCTGGCATCCTTCCTCTTTCAAGTCATCCAATCTCACAGACCTTCATACATCTCCGACCTCCTTCAATTCAAATCCTCTGTTCACTCCCGCACTACACGTTCCAGGTCTTCTGATTTATACATAAGGGCCCACCGAACCGCTGCTTTCGACAGATCGTTCATTATCCAATCCTCATCCTTATGGAACTCCATCCCTTCCCACATCCCTTCCTACCTTTATATCCCGCCTGTTCAATCATCTCTTATCCATCCAGTCCCCATAAAATTGTAAATAGATACCATTGTAAATATTTATATAAATTATTAGATTGTTCTTCATTATTTTTACTTTATTTTAAATTTTTTTTATTATTAACTTATTTAAGTTAGAAAGTAACATATAATTTTTAATATGACTATTTCATTACTCAACATTTCTTTTTATGTATCTCTGAGGAGGCTCCTTAGCCCACATTACTGTCCTTATGTATTATTCTAAAGGTACTTGTCCCAGAATAAATAAAGTATTATTATTATTTGAGAAGGAATTAGTCGAGGGTGCGGTCAAAAAAAAAAAAAAAAAAAAAAAAAATTAAAATATATAAATAATTTTAATTTTTGCCGACGTTTCGACCCACTTTGCAGGTCGTCTTCAGGGCGTTGGATGTGGCACTGCGGGAGGCGGTTGAAACACTGCCAGTGTTTCAACCGCCTCCCGCAGTGCCACATCCAACGCCCTGAAGACGACCTGCAAAGTGGGTCGAAACGTCGGCAAAAATTAAAATTATTTATATATTTTAATTTTTTTTTTTTTTTTTTTTTTTTTTTTGACCGCACCCTCGACTAATTCCTTCTCATATCATATCAACGGTCAACCAACTCTACATCATTATTATTATTATTATTATATTGGCTCTATGACCCACTGAGTTAAGTCTTGGCATGCTTCAACATAGACCTCCCAGTTATCTCTATTTAATGCTGCTACCTTCCAATTACAGATATTAAGGAGGGAACACATTCCTCACTAAATAATAATAAATATATTATTTATATCCTGTATTATTATCTGTTCCTTGCTAAAATTGAAAGAGTGATATATGTATAATTCTGTTGATTACCTAGACTAAGGCTGGCATTGACTAATCAGGGTAATTGACACTAACGCATAAATACAATGTTTGAGCACACATTAACAAAAGAGTAAGTCAGTAAACTGTATTAGTTAGAATTAGATGGATAAACTATGAATGGTTGGCGTAGTCAAGTCACTTTATCACTTTCCAGAAAGTGAATTGCTATTAATGATATCATAATATAATGTTAATAAAAGATATTCAATATAAAATATGATTTACCAGGTGTATCAGGCAAAGTGGCTTTTAATGTTCCAGGTTGAGCGGGAAGAGCAGGTCGACTTCCTTCCATACTAGGGCTTTCGGGAGAAGTGGGACTAGCAACGGGAATATGTTGCTTCCTGCCACTCCGCCTCGAGAGCGATTTAGAAATAGTTCCATAATCTGATGGGAGGTTCGCTAAACTGTGGAACACTTGCCTCTTCCTAATTATGGTATATACTAGATTGGAATTTCCTTTAACATCAAAGACAAATAATTTTAATTAATGGATATATTTCGATATATATTAACATGAGACAAAAGGATTTAATCACAGTCTGCAATGGTTCAATATTAATTTTTCTTTAGCTATTACACTTACCATCAAATTGGTATTGAATAATGTTGTTGAATATCTCCAATAAAAAGAAAACAAGATGATGATTTGAAGGAGATGAAAACAAAAACCAAGGGGTACTAAAAGCTTCAAGGAGATGAAGTAATTTAGTACTTGCAACCATCGATAAAGTTTTTAAGTAAGGAGACACTGAAAAAAAAGATAAAATTTTGAAAAATGAATATTGTTATTTAATTTGAATAAAATTAAACCTAAGTAAAAATAAAAGAATATTGATTATAAAACAAAAATTAAATAAAGAATTTTATTTAATTCTAGATTTTATTATGAAAAAATGATTCTGGCAAACAAATACAAAAAATTAATTCCGAAAATCTGATTTATCATATTTGTTACTTCAACATGGTAAATGACTACTAAATTTCTTACAAACAGACTGATTGTAAACAAAAACGTTTTTTTGTATCTATTTCTTAAATTTTATTATTTTCTTTCAATTCTATTTTTAAATTTTGTTAGCAATAATTTTATGAAAAATTCTCTGAATTTCTGATGAGTTTGATAAAATCCCTAAATTTTCTGACTTTTTACAATTATTTCTACCAGTTGATACCCCATATTTAATCAATATAAAATAAAAACAAAACATTAAACTCACCATTAACCAGTATTGTAAGAAGGCAATCAAAAAGGGGTTGAAGCCTTTGATGACCAGTAGTAATTATTTTATGAAATACTGTAATTAAAAGGTCTGCATGGGTTCCTAAAAAAAAAATAAAATAAAATAAATATTAATTCCTAAAGCCAATATGATAATGATTCATGCACTTGAGCAACTGACATTAACAACCCAATATTTTGATAATTTTATTATTAATTTATTTATTAATATAAATACAAATTTAAAAAATTTAATTAACTACCTGTAAAAACAGGAATATCCATTGGAATGGTAGCAGTATACGGTTTATTAAGCCTCACTCCGAAATTTCGTTCTCCACTCAATAACAATATTATGAAAACTCCTATGTGCATGAGACCGACGCGAGCTGCAAAAAAGTTTAAAAAGTATTGCAATGCATAAAGAATTTTTAGAATGTAAATAAAGATTTAAAAAAAAAAACCACTTACATTGATCTGCTCTGGAATCATTTAGGTGATATAAAATTGGAACAAGTATTTCCAAAACATCACTACTTTTGAGCACGTAATACAAAAATTTCTGAAAACAAATTTGAACGAGTGAAATTAACAAAAAGTTCTAAAAAATTAGAATTCATTATTTAGGTATCTGAATAAGCATAAATCAGAACCAACCAGGCAAACGAAGTTAAATTAAGTTGTTACAAATTCCCAATCAGTGATTAGTTACCTTATTATAATCACACATCTTCCAGAAGAAGACAAGCAACTCTTGGTGAAATTGTACCTTCTTTGTAGAATTAGGAAGGTAAGTTTGTACCAATGGATTGTTTAATAGCCTTGTGAATCCTCGGAGAATAAAACCAAAATCTTCATCACGATGAATCCGCGATAGATAGTTTATAAATAAATTTTCTGTTCCGTTAGACTGCAATTCAAAACTTCAGTTGTCAAAAAGTATTTAAAAATAATATTATCCTTATAAATAAATTTGAGCTTCACCTCATTACTAACGCCTCCTTGTGATGTATCATGATCCAATGTCACAATCAGAATTTGTAATGCAGCATCTACTAGTGGTTCACTAGTATCTTGAAAAAGAAGATGGTTATAAGGAAGACCAAGTCCTACAGGATCATACGCACAGACCGTATTTAACAAGGATGTGAACATAGGAAGCGCATGACGATTTTCACCAGAAGTAAAAAACTGAATCCATTTGTTTGGAGCAGTCTGTATATCTGAAAAGTAGATCAAAATAGACATAATTAAAATACAACCACATTACTTTACCAAACAGAATAAAAACATTTGAAAATTTCCAATAAAGTTTTCTTCAATAACCTTTCAGAACTTCTAAACAGTCAGCAGTACAAACCCCCTTTTATCAAATAATTAAAATCCATTCTAATCTGTCTAAACTTCATGATCAGCTTCATCTTATCATAATCGCAAACTTTTGTATTTACAACAATTCTTGGAAATGGGGTGTTCTTTCATAAAATTAATTAGTTTAATGAGGTACTAAAAACAGATGAATACCCATTTCCACTTGAAATGTAAGATAATTAATCATAAAATTGAGTAAAAATACGGCCTACAAATATATAATTTCATATTCATAAAATTTCATTTCAGTTTCAAAGCATAGTTGAGAATCCAAATTAATTTCTATCCTAGTTAGATGACGGATAAAGAACAAATTTTAAATTTCCTATTTATCCTAATTTATTCCTTATTTATTATCTATTATCAGTTTCCAACACCTAATTAAATAAATAAGAACTGAAGTGCTGTCTTAAGTCTTGTAATAGTGGCTTTGTTTATAATTAATGAAAAATGAAGTAACTTCATTCTTTTAAAACGAAAATGAAATTTATAAATTTGTGTTCAATTTATAGTTACCCCTCTTCCCTTCAGATTTACTTGGATAAACCTAATAATAAACTTACCTCTCTTAATATCGCATGACCTGTGAAATTAAAAATACCCCCCGGGGTCCTCTTGGGGCTCCACTTCATTTTTATATCTTAAATCAAGTTCATTAAAAAATTATGGGAAAGTAATAAGGAGTTTAAAAAGTTGAGCAAAAATCCTTTAAATAATATTTACTCAAAAATCTGTAAATATTGAAACTTATAAAATGATATTCACACAATGGAGGATATTATTAGTTACATTTAGCATAAAGAACTTTTTTGGTGGCATGGTTTTTATACACATGATTCTTGCAGGTTTTAAATTTTTTGTTTACTCTCAAGTATTTTGTTCTAGGACACAAGTAACAAACAGCTCTTTTTTATGCCCTTGTGCCAGATGTCGTCAGTGATTTTCCCATGTTCACACCAGATTCCTCATCAGATGGACTTCTTACTTCATCCTGGGAATCCTCAATTTCTAGTAGACACTTCTTTAACATTTCTCGTACACCACGGAGTAGTTTGCCGTGAATAGAATTTTCACTCAGCCTTTTCTTTATCCATGGTGCAGCCAACAACTGACCGCGGGAAAGAAGGAAACAATGTCTAAGTTGGTGCTAATTTTTCTGCTATTCTGGAATTAATTAAATTCTCCAAATTCTCTCATTTCCACAAAACAAACTTTTTTTTTTATAAAACAAATTTGTAGCAACAATATTGATTAAATTCATAAATAGTGCCATAGGCCATTCACCGACCATTCTGTCAAGAGCATCCACAACCTCTTTAGTGATGTTGTAATGAATTACGATCTTTGGTTTATCATTCAGATCTTCTTCTTAAATGGAAGCAGTGTGGTATTCAGAGGTAAGCAATACCATGCATTTATTAGTGTGCATCATATAGGATACTAAGACGACTTGAAACGCAAAAAGTGAATAGTGCCTAAGTCAGTTGTGAGAAGGCAGAAATTCTGGGGACATTTTTCTAAACTGTGCCACGAAGGGTAAGGTTTTTGTCCAAAAGATCCTCAGTAAGTTCCAGTGTAACTGTAATAAGACAACTCCTTTCCTCTGATTTTTTTCAGGCTTCCCACCAACTTTTCCCAAATATACTTGTAAATTCTAACAACACAATGTTTCACTGTCAGCCATTATCCAAATACCGAACCGTACTAATGCATATACTGTAAAATCCAATGATAAGATAATACCACGTGGGGTTCCACGGGAACCTCAATTACTTTACTGTGAACATATTATTTTATATAGATTTGTAAAATAAAAATTGAATAGATCATCGTAATGTAAGTGAATGTAGATAGTTTAAGGATAAATGTTTGGAAGCCTCATCACAATAGAAATTGTGAGAAGTTTATAAAAATTATAAAACGCATGGGGTATTTTTTGACTCCACATGTTATTAGGAGTGTTAATAACCGTTGAAGATGATGACAATTGAATTATCCCAATGTTATGAATTCTTAATAAGGAATATCACAAAAATGTTTAATTAATTCTTTCAATTAAAACAATTGTTTGAACAAAATAATTTTTTATTTGCTTGTAATATTTTTCAAAGATTTTTATTAGTAGGTGTTTTCACGCAAATAATATTAATCTGTCAAGTGCTTTTTTATTCAAATAATCATGTAAGATCAAATACAGCAAATAAATTTAATTATTTGCTATTTTCGGATAAGAGATCATCCAGTTTACTTTATTCGACACATCAAATAATAGATAATTTTATTACAAATCTATAATCTAAGATGAATTTTCCCCAACTCTGCATTAAAATAGTAAATCATTTGTTTGCAAAATGATACTATGAAAATTAATAATCATTTAAAAAGAGATATCTCTTTTCAAAGAATATTTTAAATAATTACCAACAGGCGGTTGATACATTGTTTCTGAGAAACAAGTGAGAAGTAATTTCAATAACTCAGTTCTGGCTGCATCGTAAGTTGTATAATGTGGTGGTGAATGGGCAAAACCAACACCAGCTTCCCATATGTATTCACAACTATCGATCGCTTGTAAGTCTTCAGCTTTATCCTAATAATATATACTACATTAACAAAGATAAACATATTCAAATATTTCACAGTAAAAGATTATTATCAAATACTACTGATTTAGAATCGTAGTTACTTACCGGACCTGATTTTTTACTGGCAACAGTAAAATCTGGACAAAACAGAAGGTCCTATAAAAGGAATGTTTTAAAATAATACTGTAAAAACAAAAGCAAAAAAAAATGTCTACATAAAAAAGATAAGCTCTTACAGAAATTGCATTTAAAAGAGAATGAGCTAAGGCTACAGATTCTCCTGAATCACCAGATTGAGAATTTTCTGGAAGACTAGTCCAGAAAAAACCTCTCCACTCCGGATCTTCGAATATGTATGGTAGGACACGTGTCAAAAGTCTAGCACAATTAAGTACTGAACAAAACAGGAAAAATTTATTAGAGGAGGTAGAGTAGAGATTAACCTACATGAATAAAAATTATTTTAAAATAAATCTACCCGCCAATTGCTCCTGCTGAGTTCTACATGAACTGTCAACCGCCCTCACCATTTTCTCTACCGCCTTGTAACATAATGTGGCTAAATTTGAAGGTGCCTCTTCACGTAATGCTCGGATTTCTGTAGCTGGCACAAGAGTAAAAACATCTTGAACATTTGTCACATTTTCACTCCAAAATTGGTCCCAGAATGAATTATCAGCAGCATCGATAGGCTGAAATTTATCAATCCAGACTTATGTGTAAGGTTGAATAAGATTCAAAAATGTAATCAAATCACCATCATGAAAAATCAAATCATGATTGAAGGAAATATGTAAGATGTAGTATGAATGATACATTTAAATATAACTTAATGTTCAAAAACCTGTGTTTTAGAAGTTAGTTGTATCACAGCTTTTCTAAAATTTAATTTCGTGTCAGAATTTCCCATTTTCCTTACATTCACCAAAATGTAAATAAAACCTCAACCCCTATAGATCCAAAAGTATACTTCGTGTCATAACCTCCCTTGTTGATTACAGTTTATCAAAGGCTGCTTGCCAACATAAGTAACTATTCAATATCTTTCCAGTTTTTCTATTCTGTCCATAGTTCAGTATTCCCGGTTAATAAAAAAAAATGTAATGTTAACAAAACCTAGAACATATAAAGTGGTTGTTGAAATTACAGGAGAAAATAATGCTAACCACACAAAAATTGTAATGAAAACTATTTCAGAAAATGTTCCGTCTTATAATGAAATATTATTTTCTTCATAAGTTTCAACTTCTCAAAATTTGTATTTTTTAAAGACATGAACTTTGTTTACAGGATAGTTGGTAAATTCAAATAAAAGAGCTCTGTTTCAATTTAAATTCGCGGGTATTATTTTGATGGTATCTTATAATTTGATTATTGCTGAAAGATGAATGTATTAATAGTAGATGAGCATTTGGAACGAGATTAAAATGTTTTAGGTAACTTGGGACAACTTTCATGGAAATTATATTGTAGTGTTAAAAACAGGCAAGGAGAGGGGGGGGAGTTAATTTAGCCATGGTTGCACAAATGCATACATTGCGATGTGACTTTCGTGTATGTCTTATTAGATATTATCTAAATTTAATTCACAATATTCTAGTTTAATACTCTTTACAAATATCAGCAATCTTCATATCACACATATATAAACCACCATGTGGATTCTTCAGTAGTCATAAGAAATTCCCAATTTTTTTTAATAAGAATAATTGTGACATTTTGGAAGCTATTCAAACGACCTACTATTAAAACCTTAGTTGCATAAGAAATCTTAATGGAAATATATAACACTTATTCTCATACAGTTGGCAAATTAAGTCATTCCGTTTATCCAAATTTTAGTTAACCGTGTATCTTTATCCTTTTCTGAAAGACAAATTAAATTACCATCGTTGACGGTCAATAGGAATAAATTGAAAATCAATAAGAAAATGTGAATTACCAACAAGCTGCTAAAATAAATGCATACCTGTGTATTTTTAATAAAACAATCTTTAAAAAAAAGAAGTTCCGTGTAAAAGAAAAAAATTAATTAATTTAATGAATTTTCTTAAGGAGTTAGTTTCCATTGCGATGCAGGGGAAACCATCACCCCCAAGGACAAAGGTGCATTCCCCAATCACTTCCAAGAAATTATTGTACTCTTCACTTGTACAATAAAAATGGATGCGTTCCTTTCGGTCTATGTTTATGTAGGTCATGTAGGACACTAGTCTCAGTAAGAGTAAAAATATGGCTCCCTCTCAAAATTCAAAACTTTCTAAAAAAAAGTATCTTCCAAAAATTTTAGTAGCGCATGAAGTGTTTGATACAGGAGACAAAATTATGTAAGGTACAGATAATTTAAAAGCTAAAAGTGCTATAAGTGTGTAACAAATTTTGGCATAAGAAATGCTAAATAAAATGTTTAACAACTGACTAGTTTAGCCACAAGCTAATCAGTAAATGAGTTCAAGAACTGTGTGGCCCTGAATCTATTGAAAAGATTCTTCAAGGAGATTGAACCTAGGCACAATGATCATCGTACCGATGTCGGATATAACTGCTCTACAATGGCCAAACAGACTCAACTTTTAAAAACTAATACTAAAAAGACAAGGATTGTTTATTTTTATCAACAAATAAAAGAGAATGAAAACACCCAAAATATTTTTGCCAGCATTCTGACAGAACAATTGAAAACTCGTTAACTTAACTGCGCAGTAGATGTTAAAAAATTGAAGATAAAATGTCCTATAAAAACTGAGAAAAAGAGAAATTATTATAAGGGGCAAATAAGTGATCGGGACAAGGTTCATCTGAAAAATATGTTGAAGAACATTATCGATTTTTAATAACCTTGGATAAGATATTGGATAAAAGATCAAAGTCCGAAACAACCAGGACAGTAAATTTTCTTCACTATTCACTCGATTTGAGATAGTGGAGTTATATTTCCAAGAAAACGTCCAAGTCAAATTCAATTTGAAATGGCTAGCTAATTTTCAACCCTGAAGTCGGTATCTTAATGGTTGAAGAGTGTTAGCAAGCGTTACAATTCTTAAAGAACGGTCAAAATAATTATTCACAAAATAATCATCGTTATTAATGAGCCATTTATTTTATAAATAGTGTATGTCTTATAAATACATTTAAGAGTTGCATTCGTCGTACAAAATGACTAACAAAATAATTCAGCAGAGTATAAATTCTTGGAGCAGAAATAGTTGGGAATTGATAATTGGCTCTTATGGAGTACTATTCTGAATATATTATACTTTACAAAACACTATTTGGACTTTAAAATGTGTAATGTGGGTCTTTTATATATGCTTAATAATGCGTGTGTTAGCTCGTTCAAGAAAAAACAGATTGCAGCGAAATTTTGGGTTATATTCGAAATTTTGGGTGGCTTTTTTCATCGTCAGGAATTAAAGGAAAATATTTTTTAAAATCATTCAAGTTTTTATAATCGTTTTGAAAAAAATAATAGTAATAATGATCTTTTAAACTAGGATTTACTAAATTTAATTGGCAGTTTATCATATACCTTTATTCAAGTAGACACATTCACACAAACACAAATATAATTAAATGAAGTATTCCTTGATAGTGAATGGTTTTTATAAAAATGCATTCATAGTCTAACTAGTTTATTAAAAGTTCATTAAAATATTCCATGACTGTCGATTTTCATACGATATTTATCAAGTATTTTTAATAGGACTAATTAATTGTTCAGAATTCATTTTGTTTCAATAATAAATATTAAAAAAATCTAAAGAATTTTTCGTGATTTCCTCTAGATGACCTTAATATGTTAAGTACCTCTCATTAATTCATTTATTTACATTTGGTATTGGTGTTATTATTTTACTTTTTGGTATTCCAAACACTTCTCGATTAGCAATTATGATAACAATAATAATAATTATTAACAATAAAGAATAATTATGATAACAATAATATCGAAGATTAAAAAAATATATATTTCCTTGGGCTAATTTAAAGAAAGGACAAATAAAGTTAAAAAAATTATTAAAAATAATCATTACATCAGTTTTTATACATTATATCTGTACAAGAATATTTATAAATTTTTATGTTTATTTTACACTTTGTTAGTGCACCATACAATTACTTCGAATATTTATGTTTTTATACAATAATTATATTTTATTATAATTTTAATATTTTAAATGTTAAATATTGCGTGTGAACAAAAATAAAATTCAAACGAATTATTATTTCGAGAAAGTTTGAATATTTATAGTTCAGAGGTAAGTTAATAATTAGATATGGAGGACAAGAAGATATAGACACTAGTGGATCCAGGATTTAATTTTGGGGAGAGGGGCTTCAGCCCGAAAGATTTTTTTTCACATATATAACGATAATTAATTAGAAAAAAAAGAGAAAGAAATGAACTACCTATATGAAATGGTGTTTTAGTGATTTTTGAAGTTCTATTAAATGTAATTACACGAACAATAATACTTTAAGAGATTATTTTTAATATTTTTTTCTATAAAACATGGTTATATTTTACCGTTTTGGGGGGGAGGGGCTTCAGCCCGAAAGCCCCCCCCCCCGCAAATCTGCCTGTGGATATAGAAGAAGACGAAGAAAAAAAATAAAAATTATTCTGAGACTAAGTCTCCTTAGAACAACTACAATGTTCAATTTAATGACAATTGTCTGGCACTAGAAATAATTAGGAATAAATTAAACTACAAGGTTATCTAGATCTAAAATTAAAAATTAAAATAAAGAAAAGGCACTGGTTTATTTATGAAATTATAAATAAATTCAGATGTGTGAGTTCACATATTTGTACACATTAATAATGTGGATGATATATAATTATCTGTAGGAAAACATTAAATGCGACTGACAGGCCTGAAAAACGTGAACATTATTTTATACATATTCCGAAGATTGATTGCTGAAGAGATGGATAAATAAATTATGTTTAAATGATGTATATACACACTTGCGTAAATATTTACTATTTTAGTCATGGAATACATGTGTGTCGTAGTATAGACGAAAAGGAAGTAATGATAATTACTTTTCTGTTTTCATCTATTTTCGGGTATTTATTACCTCATTATATCATAGAAGCTACATAAAATTATAATATTTTTCTTCCAATAGATTTTCTTTACAACACGCTAATATGAACTAGGCTAGGAAAAAATATGTTTCATATTTTTAAAAAAATAATAGTCTGCATCGTATATAAAAATTTTGTATAGATCATAATCATAATAAAAAATAGAACGACATAGCTTAGGTCATATTTTACCTTATTTTTGTTTAGAATGCGGATGAAAAGTGGTATAATTGTTTCTAATGCTTACATGGGGAAATTGAAAAGAATTTTAATTGCTGAATGTCTTTCCCATAGTTTCTTTCTGAAAATATTATAATTTGTTTTCGAATTCCATTCATCATACAGTCTGTTGAGGGGGAAAAAAGTAACAACATCTTAATTTATATAATACATAAATTTCGACTGGAATTTAGTCATTGATCATAGTCATGCATTCATAGATCTATGGCAATGTTCTGGCTGTAAAACAACGCCACTGAATTTGAGATCATTTGATCTGGATTCGGTAGCTGGACGTGCCCAGATTAAGAAGGGAAGAAAAATATTTATTTTTTATTTTTTAGCATTTTGATTAGTTAAACATTCTTCCAATCCAACGCACTAATTCAAAACTCGATTTTTATTTTAATAAAAACAGTTTACTGTATTATACCAGTAACTCAGTACTTTTAACAGAGGCTAAAATTACATTGTAAATTTTTATAAAATAATGAAAATAACTTTCCTTACCTTATTGAAGTCGGAAAATCAATTTTATTTCGTTGGCATTGAACGGCTCATTAACCTGCAAGAATGTCATCAACTTCCGCTTCTGA